GGATGACCACCCATCGTTGGTGACCGACGCCTGCGCTCATTGATGAACTTTAGACTTCGCTAATGCTTTCGTTTCCCCGGGTGTAAATAGCCGGGGGGAATTAGTACCCTTGCACGGCACTTCGCGCCGCCGGCTCGGGGATTAATATTTTTTTCTGTTACATTTTTGCATGCAGGTACAAATAATGGTAAGCCACTGATTTACTGACAGTAAAAATTAAATAATCATTTGATTATAACATCATAAGATTGGTGGCCATAAATTGGTGTGTTACTCGTGTTACGACAAGGTGACATGAGGTAACATGCAACCTAACTACTTTTGAATTTCTTTGGGAACCATATATGTTAGGCAGACTACCAACACAAAGAAATTTTATATTTGGATTACAATACACACATATACACATTACATAACACATGTGACTCGTGTTACATATAAAGTATACAGTTCAGAATTGTTTCCAATATAGCTTCTGAAAATTATTGACAACATTTTTTTAATGTCATCACTAGCATGGAATTACTCAGTGAAGACTGAAGTATTGTCAGGGAAAGACCCCACAATTATAACAAATTCACTATGTCACTATTTTGGTTGTGGTATTCTATTTATAAATGCAAAAACGGTAATTACTATGATTACTATGTACATGTAAAAAACAATCTTTTTTTAAAGCCAAGGTTATTTATCCACCTAACATACTCTGGTTGTTTTAACCAGGACATCCTGGTCATCCTGGTGAAACATAATCTGGTTACATAAACCAAACTATGGTAGGAATTAAGTGAGGTAAAATAACCAGGAAATTTAACCATGAATATCAATTAGGGGGCGACGGGAAAATTTTGAATTTTTAGATTCATTTGAACCCTATTTCACGTATTTTAGGACGAGGTTTGAAGAAAAGTTACTACCACAAAAAGTCATTTTTAAGTTGCCTATAATGTTGTTAGATCAAAAAATATTTTTGTAAAACATTGTACTGTACACACAAATACAAACAGCAAAAATTCAAGTGCAAATGTGCTTTCAACCACCATACTCATTTTTTACTCGAGTTTGATTTTTCGAGATAGGGAATACTACATGTAACTTTTATCGGTAAACAGAAGAGATGGGAATGATTATTCACACAATAATTGAGATTCACCAAAGAGAGATTGCTCTGAAATGCATCAGCCAAAGTTATTAGTCTTTCACATCTATTATTGCTTGCGGCCTTGTCAGGCTTTAGACTTTCCCAAAGTCCTTTCCAGTTTCGAGATCGACTTGTGGGCAAGTCTAGCCAGGCTTTTGTAATCCCAAATACTGACTACGGAAATGATACCATATAATCATTTATCTTTCTACGCCACTGCTTCGTAGCACCTCATTCACCTCCGTTGCACAATTATTGGGAGATAAATGACGTTCAGCATCCAATCTCATACCCAGGGCTTCTGCGCTTATTGCTCTAACCCTGGGTACGAGGTTATTCGGCATCCAGTAATGCATAGTTGAAATAGTTTTTATGTGGTGTTCCTGATAACAATTTTCAAAATAATATAAAATTCTTTGGTCTTGTCCAGTCATTTATCTCTCTGTCCAATCGCTTTTAGTTAGGAGGAGAATCTTAATTTGTATATGTTACGTAACACGCGCTCAAAACTACTGATTGAATATACTTTTCCACTTGGACCTTGGTTATGACTATATATTCAAATTTATTTTAAACTTTTGATCCGTTTCTCAAGCGGCTGTAAAGTTATGCTAAAAGTAAAATGAAGAGATTTTAGATGGTACGCCAAAGAGAAAATGTTGTCTGAAGTTCAGTAAGTTTGGCTTATTTTACTGGAGTTAGGATTCTAGATAGGGATCACTACAACTTTTATTGGTAAACGGAAGAGATGGGAATCATTCTCTTCAGTTGGCAGAGCATTGGACTATAGTATCCCAAAGGTCGCGGGTTCGATTCCCACCGTGGTCAGGCTAACTTTTCAGCCTGCCCGGTGTAGATGTACGCTCAAGAGTAACATAAAAAACATTGGCTTATACTGTATTGCTGTATAAATATGGCGTCAATTTTTACAGCATCAATGATAATTGCGTATTTGGATTGACAATATTTAACTATTGTTTTGTGTGTAAAACAAATTAATTTGAGAGGAACGCCCAAAAGATTTTCGGTTTTGAACACTTTTCATTGCAAATACGCGACATAGAAAACAATTGTCTCCAAAATGTTATCTGGTTGTGTGTTATTTTTTCAGGTCAAAAATGTAAACAACGTGAGCGCTCTTTGATGAGCAATTTGCTAGGGCAAATGTTGAGTTTAAAATATGGTTAAAAAAAGTTAACCCAAATAGTGTTATGTCTATAGGTTAACAAGAGAATTTTATAACCAGAGAGTTTGTAGAGTGTAAACTTGGCTAGTAGGCTTTAGGAGCACATATATAGTCATTTGAATCACAGGGTATGGAAATAAAAATTAAATTTGTCTTATTTGAATTAAGAACTTTTAAAGTTATATATGAAGACCTTTTACAACGTTTTAGTACCATGCTTGGTTTTCGAAATATTGACCAAAAACAGTGCAGTCCGCCATCTTGGTAGTATAATTGACCTAATTAACTGAGTTTCTGATGACATCACAAGCAGGGTAAACTTGGTAAAACTTCTTCATGTGGCACTAAATTTCTTCGAAAAGTTTCTTAAAATGTTGTGAGTTAATTGAGTACTAAAAAGACTTCGAAAAATCGAGTTTCATATTGATAATGACATGTGGTTTGCAAGATAAAAATTTCGCTTTTTACCCTACTTGTTACGTATGCATATCGAATGCATATCCAAGATGGCGGAATCCACGCTGCTTTTGTTCAAAATAAGTCGATTTATTTCGAAAACCAAGCAAGATGGGGAATAATTGTAAAAGAAGTTTATATGTATCATTTTAAATTATCTTTCAGATAAGACAAACTTAATTTATATTGCCTTATCCCTTTAAAGAGAGATTGCTCTGAAATATATCAGCCAAAGTTATTAGTCTTCCACATCTATTATAATGCTTGCCAGGCTTTTGTAATCTCAAATATTGACTACGGAAGTGATAACCATATAATTATTTATCTTTCATCATTTTACACTGTTTCATACGCATCGACCCGCTGACAATTGTTATTTGAACGGAATTTACAGTATCAACACATTATTTGAGTAAATGTAATAAATTTCCCATAGAAATGTACAACACATTAGGATATGTTCCGGCGATCGCCCGCAGAGGCAAAGCAGACGCATGGTGACCGCACTGCGGACTCACCCACGGACGTACGGTGGACGCAAGACTCCCGCCCCACAGACGCACACTCAGGTGCATGCATGCAGACGCACAGCGGACGCAAAATACGTGTGTCTTACTACCCGTATCAAAATTAATATTTTGCTCAATACACCCTTCCGGAACGTACGTCACTTTGGCTTTTGAGTGTAAACGAGGCTGCACAGTATAGCACAGACCTCACGCTCGGTCAATTATCTGCAAATGAGCCTGCGATGATTAGCAAGCGGTATCTATTTAACACAATTATTGAATTCGGTTTTTGCGATATGCAAAATTATCAAGGTCTCGGTAAGCGTTATCAGCCTCGCCTTCGGCTCGGCTGATAACGCTTACCTCGACCTTGATAATTCCGCATATCACAAAAACCTCATCCAATAATTGTTAATTAATGCATTGATATCATTTCCTCAGGTCTTGAAATACTATACAGTATACCGTTTGGATACTAGACATCAAAACTCAGTATCCATTGGGATAGTTAACAAATTTCTCTCTAACAAATTTGGTTTGCTAGTCAAAAGGTCGCGGGTTCGACTCCCATCGCGGTCAAGCAAACTGTTCAGCTTTCCCATTGTGGACACACTCAGAGACAATATCGCAAACATACATGTATATCTACACCTGAGTACGAAACACCAGAAACAGAACATTTCTCTCAAAGACAACCAGGTACCAGGTTTTTAGTGGGTGCCAGATTTTTAGGTGCTAGAATCAGATTGCATGGACAATGCTGAAAATTTCAAGCCCTGTTTCCTAATTTCTAAATTTTCTGCAGGTGCGCTGGAGGATTTTGAAAAATTACCCTCATCTTGCAAAAGTCCTGAAAAGGAAAGCGAACCAAGCACAGCAAAAGACTTAGAACCAGGTCCAAAGGACTCTAACGAACCCTCACTTGACAACTGGGGTTTGAGTGACGGTGATATAGAAGCAGCAGCTGCAGAATTTGAGAAGTCAATGAAAACAATGTTAGGGCAAGATGAAGAACTTTTAAGACAATGGAATGAATTTGCTGAACAGGCTGCTTCCTCCAATCCAGGTGCAGTAGATATAATTTTGGCCCACAGTAAATAGCTAATCCACCGATTAGCTAATTGCAGTCACCAGTAATTAGCTAATTGCAGTCACCCTATTATCCATGTAATGTTGTATTGTAATGTAAAGTGTAAATAAATGAAAAAGATACTAGTTAAAAACCCTACCTGGATATTATCCATGTAATGTTGTATTGTAATGTAAAGTGTAAATAAATGAAAAATATACTAGTTAAAATTCAACCAACCATAGTGTATACACCCTGCAGTAGAAAATAAACTTGCTTATATGAAGGCCAGTGAACATCAGAGCAATATTTCACTACACTTGGTGTAATTGTAATTGAAAACGATCTGCATGAATGTTTTGTCTTAGGTTTATCAATTAATTAATATATAGCCATTAGGGACCAGACATTATTTATGGTGGGATGGTGGGGGGTGGCACCGAAGAGAAAAGGGTTGGGTAAACAAAATTTTGAGTAAGTAAAACGTTGGGTAAATGAAAAACAAAACAACTCATTCTCCAGGTTTGGGTAATAAAAATTTGTTGCCATTTCCAAAGCATCACTCATTCAAATATTGAAGACAAAAAGCAATGTCAACAGTCATATCAATATGTAAGTCAATCAGAGTCACTATCTTGAACATTTTCCGCTTTGTCAGGAGGCAAATGGTGTCTCCAAAGAAAGTACCTGTGCAGACAACATGAAACTTTAGACTGCAGAAAATTGCACTGTTATCAAATTCATGTCACAGAAGTATTAAAGGGCATATGTAACAACTGATTGGTATCCTTTTGTAAAGTGTTTGGCCAGGGGTGGGTGTTTATTTTTAAATTGGTATTTGAGGTTGGGTAAAAATATTTAGCAAATTTTTACCAGGGAAAACATTTCTCTAATTCGGTGCCACCCCCCGCCATAAATAATGACCGGTCCCTTAAGCCTGGTTCCCATGCAGGCATAAACGGTTGTGCAGACATATCAATGTCCCAATGTAATAGATTGTCGATTCCTCTTTACAATCCATTTATCACATTGTCAGTTGAACTTGATTTGAATGTACGACCATATGGAAACCAGGCATTAGAATTGAGTAATTCAAGCTACTGTAGCTTGAATTCTTTTGGATTATTGCTTTATTGTTCAGAAGAAACACTTTCATGACCCATGAAAGAACTGTATCTTTTACTATATATGTTAATATAATTTTTTTTAGTTTCTTCTAACTGTCACCAAAAGCCAATATAATTAGTTTTATTTATAACTTTGTAGACCACGTAATATTGTTTAGTTATAATTAGTTGAACTGTTTAGATTTAGCTAATGGTGGAAATGAATCATTACCAGAAAATGTTGAAGCATTTGAAGCCCACTTATTAAAAACAATGAAAGATATAGCAGAAAATGCAAAGGAGATGTCCGTAAGTATACCACAGACCACAGTACGTATGCATGTATTGCTTGCATGTGTAGCTAGTACTAACTTCCCGACGACGGGACTTTGCTCGAAACCTCGAAAGGGGCCAGTTGTACAGAGGCCGGATATAGTGATTTTTCCAGATTATTTTAAAAGTGGCTGTCAATTGTTATAACCGGCCAGATTAAACATTATAGTATTCATAAATTAAAAATTATTTTTATAATTGTGAGTTCGACATCCGTATAGTTTTATATTAGTTTGGCAATCATTTTTACAATGGTTGAAGAAACCACTATTCAGTGGATAGCGCTATCTGCATGGCTTTTAAGCACTTTTTAAAGTGTTTAAAAACACTTTATTTAGGTAGTGTGATAAACTGTGAGACATGAACAGAGTTTCAATAACATTTGTTGCGTTTACTTTGAGCCTGATTGCAGGCTGTTGAACCTGTTCGCAGGCTAAACACGTGCGATTCGCTTTTACATACGGGAATTTTAGTATAAAAACAACAAGTTTCATATTCTTTCGATCGAACGTGTATTATCTATATTATATTCGATTATTCGAGGATATTTCGTTACGAACTCAACGTTAGTTATGTTTAAGTCTTTTACCTTATTATTTGATAGTAAAGTGATATAATTTTAATGTTATCCGTGTGTTAATTGAACGAACGTTAAGTATTGAGCGAGGAAATGCGATAAATATTATGCGACGTGCATAACATGGCGCCCAACGTGGGGCAGACTTTTTCGAAATAAAGTCGCCCAATCGAACCCGAAATTACGAAATGGCCGACGAAGTGAAGGAAAAATTGAATAGGCTACGTGCCAGACGACGAGGTCATCGCGGTGTGTGTACAAAACTCGAAAAGGAAGCGACTGAATTATTACAAATACCCGAAGGCGAAGGAGATCACATCGAACGAAGCGAAGTTATTGCTGTACAACTCCAAGAAAAACTGAAATTATTAAGCGAAATCGACGAAGAAATATTGGACATTTGCGACGTGAGTGATATACAAAACGAAATCGAAGAATCAGCCGAAATTTCCGATAGAATTTCGAATACGAAACGAAGAATCGACAAACACACGAAATCTGCCAAGTCTGCAAAAGTTCAGGGTCATATTAATAATACGAATGTTATAGTTACGAATTCGAACCTGACTCCCAGCACGAGTATGGAACAGGAAAGTATCGAAAATACAACGGAAAGTACAACTGATAATTTGCCGGCTACGATCGAAGAAAACGAGGGAAATACGAGTTTAAATTTAGGGAACAGTTCGCCTTTATTACAGCAATCAACAACTACGACAATGTCAACAACACCAATGGGACAGTTTGTACCAAGTTTGCCCAAGCTTCCGAAGTTGGAACTCCCTAAATATGGAGGTAAAGTAACTGAGTGGAATTCCTTTTGGGACTTATACGATTCAGCTATTCATAGTAACCCAACTATTTCGAAAGTTAATAAGTTTAATTATTTACAATCATTACTCGAGGGGCAGGCAGCGCGTGCAATAAAAGGTCTCACATTGACCAGTGCAAATTATGACGCTGCGATTACAATTTTGCGAGAACGATTTGGGAAAACTCAGCAGACAATAGCTGCCCACATGGATGAAATTTTGAAGATCCAAGTTTGCCTGAACGGTCGAACAAGTCAACTGAGATATGTTTACGACAAAATAAGTGTCCATGTGCGGGGTTTGGCGTCTCTTGGGGTATCTTCTGAACAATACGGTAGCATGCTAATCCCAATTATTATGTCTAAATTGCCAACCGAAATCCGCCTTGAAATTGCTAGAAAATCTACGGGAGACGTTTGGAAAATTGAGGAGCTGCTAGACACAATAAAAACTGAGATCGAAGCGGGGGAAGTGAGCGAGGGAGTGCAGTCAAGTCAACAACCGAGTAAAAAATCTGTCCCACCCTACTCCCCTAGAATACCCTCTGCAGGTGCATTTACAACTCAAGACAAAACTGGTAAACATATCCAATGTGTTTATTGCAAAGAATTCCATTTTTCGGCATCATGTGACCGAGTGACAAACCCAAATGCTCGCAAGGATATATTGAGGAGAGACAATCGGTGTTTTACATGCTTGGGGATTGGTCATCGCAGTACAAGATGCGAGTCGAAAAAGAATTGTAGACGATGTCATGGCAGGCATCACCAATCAATTTGTGATGCATCCAAGGGCTCACACTATACATCACCTTTCATGAATGGAAATAAACCCATCCCACCCAGTAAAGACGACGAGTTACCTGGAGAACCAAATAATACTAGCACTGCAACTGTCATTGACAATTTGACTTCAACTGATAATCCGACTACAACTGGCTATATGACAACAGAAGATTCAACGACAACAACGACCACAAAAACACGGAATAAAGTTCTTCTGCAAACAGCAGTTACGTATGCCCAAGGGGAGAATGGCTCCAATCCAATACCGGTTCGATTACTTTTGGATAGTGGTAGCCAACGTTCCTACATTACCAATTCATTAAAGAAGGGACTCGGTCTGGTTCCAATACGAACAGAAACTCTTAATTTAAATACCTTTGGAGATGATCATTTTAAGAAACGACGTTGCGATATAGTCCAGTTATCGTTGAAGGGAAATAGTGACAATCGAAAGATAACGGCACTTTGTTTTCCAAGTCTTTGCTCACCATTGACAACCACGATTGATCTAAGCCTATATCCACATTTGCAAGAGTTACAGCTCTCTGATCTCAACATTATCGAAGGACGACAAAATGATAGCAGTATCGACATTCTTATTGCCGCAGATTATTATTTTGATATTCTCACTGGCGAGATGGTACGAGGCGAAAGTGGTCCTGTTGCCGTTAATAGCGACTTTGGCTGGGTTGTTACTGGTCCGACAAGTGATACAGAATCGTGTTCGAAAGTCTCGGGAGTTCATTTGCTCATCGAGGAGCAATGTTCATTATTAACACCATCCTCATTTGCGTTGAGAGAGGATGAATCTGAACTTTCGAAGTGTTTAAGCCAATTCTGGGAAATCGAGTCGATGGGAATTAACGAGGAGAAAGTAACTAAAGAAGAGTTTTTGAAGGATATTCGATATCTCGAGAATGAAGCAAGATACGAAGTTAGTTTACCATGGAAGAATGAGAGTATTCCGAAATCGAACGGATACGGTATGTGTTTGAAACGACTCCATCAACTCAAGTCTCGTCTCGATAAAGACAAACAATTACTCGAACAATATGACAACACATTTAAGGATCAAGAGAAAAGCGGTATCATAGA